ATTACCTTTGGAAACTCTTTATAAATGCGAGTTTCAATTAGAATAGTTCATAGCGAAAATTTGAACTCTATTAACTATTTGTATCGTCATATTTGATGAGGTTGATCGTATACGTAGGTCAATCTGAGCATCTATGTTTCATAATGGAAGTGGAAGTAACCAAGACGGTTGAAAATTTCGCGATAGCCTGTTATCAATGAAATCTTTATTTGTGCAGTTTCAAAATTAAAATTGAAGAGTTCGAATTTTTGGTAACACAAGAGGATTCATAGGTCGAAGATAAAATTTTCAAAAAATGCTCACTATGTCTACATCGCAAAGCTAGACAACGGACACGAACTTTTGTGCGCGTGCATATCTTTGTTGCGCTAGACTTTAGACACATAGCATCAAATGAAATGCGATCAGATAAATGAAAATCTTAACTCATGAGTTCAGATGCGTTCATGTGGAAATCAAAAACATTTTTTCACTGTTCTAGTTTTTAAAATATATAGAGCTGTCCCTACCAAGTGAGACAGGGTACAATCATTTTGAATCTTCGAAAATTGCCTGTTTCTCCTCGGTGCTTTTTAAAATTTTTTAAAATCTCTTTTAAATGATTCTTACAAAGATTTTTTTAAAGTTTCTATAATTCATTTACGAAAAACAATTCTTCGTTTTTTAGAAAAATTCTTCAACCTCCCAAACACTGCTACCGGATCAATTCCTAAAATCTAAAAACAAAATTAATATCCACATTTAAATATATTTATATATACGCGTTGGTTTACTTGTTCTTAAGATCACTATTTCCAGCTTTGGTGTATAAGACTAAATAGATCTCAAAGGAAGTACAATCTCAGCCGTATAATACTTAAGCTTATAGACAAAAGCTTCGCAGACTTTAATTCTAGGTTGCGACAGTGTCAACTTCTATTTACATGCTTGAGTTATCTTTGTATCAAATCGTTATAGTAGTCGAAAAAAAACTTATTTTATTCAGAATAGATTTTATAATAGCAGGCTCTAACAGCGGCGTAACCCGGATTTTAGACCAATGGGCAAGCTGTTATTGTGTCGGAAAAACACGATAGGCAAAATGGATAAGATTTTTATTGATGGGTCAAAACTTTTTGGATCAACAAAGCACTGATAAGGTAAAAAAATGAAATAAGGTCATCTAAATCAAATATGCATCAAACTCAGATTTTAGGCTTGCGTCAAGTGTGCTTTGGTCTATTTTCAATGTCTCTGTTCATGTTGACACACTATACGTATATATATAGACGAGTAAGAAGAAAAAGCATGCAAAAGTCAAAATACAAGAAGCGATTCTTTTCTTCTTCTTCTTTGCTGAATTATTCACAGAAAGAACAAGCAAAGAGGGTATGTGAGATTCAGATGGACCAAAAAAAATGCAGCAACTATTTAATTAAAAAATAAATAGACAATTCGGAAAAAATAAAATTTCAATGGGCAAAAATTTACTAATAAAAATTATAATGCGCAACTCTCCAAAGGAACTGGCTTATTGCCCATTTACCACTCATCTGGCTCCACCACTGGGCTCTAATACATTGAGAAAAAATGACTTCGACTGAAGCCATCTTGCTCGTGGTAAATATAGATCATGTTGAGTAGCACGTTAAGATTTTGTAGAACTTTTCTGGGGTTTTATTGAAATATACGAGAATTATGGGAAAACGACTGAATACAGGAGAAAAAATAGGAAATATAGGTCGCATCCGATCTCAGCTCTCACTTAATAAATTTTCTTTTATCAACAAATACTTGTAAGTGACAATAAAATATTTTATTTTACTTTTTTAAAGTTAATTAAATATACGCTAAATCGAATTGTTTTTCAGATTTATTGATTTAAGTTTTTTCAAACAGGAACTCAGGAGAATGAATCCTAGCCTAGGATCCGATGAGTTCCGATCGGTTCCTATTGGAATCCGACGGAGCTCTTCGGAAGGCGCAATGAAACTATCGGATTCCTGGTTCCGGCATCGATATCGGATCCTAATATCGGAAACTAATAAAAATCCGACAGTAACCGTCAATCGGACCCGGAATGCTTCGGATTTCATTGGTTCCGACAATCGGATATCATCGGAAATACGACTGTCGGATCCGACATTGATCTCTCAACCAGGAATCCAACGGGATTTCGTCGGATGGTAGGACCCCTTAGAATCCGATGGGATTCGTTATCGGATTGATTCACCTGGGAATATCGTTCATATAGTACAAGTAGAAAATTTGTCAGCATCAATGGATCATTTACAATTGGATGTTAACATTATCAAACATTTTATGGAACACAACAATGTTGATTTCTTACTTTTATTAAAAATTCCGAATATAAAAAGAGTTTTTGTAAACGATTTTCATCGGCTGATTGGCGATGAGATATATCCTTTGGCAAACGATAATCAAGAAGATACAACATCAAAGAAAACGAAAGATGATGAATCTTAAGCTATATATGCTGAATTTTCTCAGTGTGTGCAAATATTTTATTAAAATCTGATAAAATTCAGGATCACAAAAATCGTATATTACCCTGATCGATCAAATCGGGCCACTCTAAATCACCGTAACATTATTGTCAGCGGGTGTAAATGCACCATATTTCACCCTAAACAGCCGTTTTTCTGTCGCATTCTCTTGTTATAAGACGGACAGTATTACGGACCGTATACGACACCGCATTCCCATCGTAAAAAAATTCGTAATATTGTCGTATTCTATCTTGGAATCAACCATAGTACTGTCCGTCTTATAACAAGAGAATGCGGTGTTCGTAACGGGCCGTATTTTTATCATTTACGACCGTTTATGATCGTTTCGTTCGATCAGGTTAGTACAGAATCAAGAAGTTCTGGTAGAAATTCGATCAATTATCAAACAAAATGAAAAATTTTTAGAACATGCATCAAAAACGCATGGAGTAGTTCGTGATCTCAATGAATTAATAAAAGTCGAACAAACGCATTAGTCCATAGTGCAAAAAAATATTGGGAATCTTCATGGATCAATACAAAAACACCAAAATGATATTAAGGATTTACATGAAGCAACACAAACAACTCAAAAGGTTTTATTAAAATTCATTGCGAAATAGAACTTTAAAAAAGCGTCATGCTATTCTGTTCATTTTATTTTATTTTTAATGATACAAAATAAAAGGAAGCAGAACGATAAATTTTATTTTATTTTCTCATGAATATGAGTCTGCGTCTAAGTAATTGTTCTTTTCATCTACACATCGAAATCTAATCAAAGACTAAAAACAGCAATTTCTTTGCTACTATTTTCGGTAGATACCATAGATGTCATAATACCGTTATACTGGGTATCGTGATTTCGAAGTCATAATACCCATCGAATTCTTTTTATAGTACTATCCCTAGGGTATCCACTTTTATATAACTATATATTTATAAGTTGAGGAATTCGGAGCAGCTGCCTAATTCCACATCGAATATAAACGAGATTTTCGAAGAATCCATTGATGACCTTGAGTCTGCTACAAGCATACTTACGTTTGCTATAACAATTCCTGAGGTTGCTGCAAGAATTTGAGTGCCTCCCAGATTTATGCACTACTTTGTCGGAAAGTTGATTGTAATAATCGTAACAAGATGAGGCACAGTTGAAGTAACCTCTATAAAGTATCTAGCAGCTCTGGTATGTGCTCCGGTACCTGTGGTGTGTCTCGAAGGACTCAAGTCGTACTGTCAGCAACGCCAGACAAGGTTCTCGGAAGTTGAGGAATAATCTTAGCAACCTGATCCATGGTTTCAGGAATTCGTGTAGTAACGTCCGGTTTGCTTCTTGCATCGACAGGCTCCCGTCTACCAGTGTTACGCATTGTCAGAAATCCATGGTATGTTCTAGGAATCATGATTCATGCTATGCATTTCAGCCTTAGTAATATGCATGTTTAAATTCAAATTATATAAAATAAAATTCATATAAAATTATATTATTTCCTTTTTCCTGTAGCCATATCTGTACCTTATGCTTTTCCGAAGTGTTATTGGTCAGTATATGCATCAATTATATTCAAATTCGAATTGAGCAACATATGCGAATTTGAGTTGTTTTGGTGTATTTCTTCTAAGATATTGAAGTTGTTACGCTGTAAAGTAATACCCCAAAACAACTCAAATTCCTCAACTTATAAACATATAGCTATATAAAAATGGATACTCTGAGGGTAATATACCGAATGTTTATAAAGTATGTTTAGTTGGAGAAAAAGTCGTTATCGAGTGTAACGAGATTATTACATCACTCTTTTCTTCACATAAAATAGAACTCTGAGCTTACAAAAACTGTCGCCGTCGCTCAACTACAAGATTCCAGAAAATATATTCAGGCTAATTTTTTAACCAGACTTGATTTGACTTGGTTTGACATGACTTGCGACTTGGAAAATCTCTGACTTGCCCAGCTCTGATTTGAATGATCATCCGCAAAATATTCCAGTTTATTAGCATCGCTTTATACACAGTGGTTTTTGGTATGTTCTTATAATAAATTTTCAGGGTGAGATTTAATAACATTGTGGAATATTTCCGCTAGTCTCCTAATTACTGTTCATCAGAATACATGTCATGCCATCATATTTACCAGTAGAGAATGTTTTCATACAAATGAACGAGTGATTCTATCTTCTTGAAAAAATTGTAAGAGCTAAATAATGAAAGTTAAAAACTGTCGCATAAAAAAAACAAATCTTTAGATGTATTGAAACTCTTAGACATTTAATGCTTCGCATTATTAAAGATAAGAAAAGTAGTTTCGATTGATGTAAATGCAGTTGTTTCTTTATGTTGAAAAGTTAGTTAATACATTCTTTTTGATTAAAAGAAAAACACAAAATCGATTGATGGAATTTCATTAACGACGAATAATTAAAATATTGTATTTATTGACTTTGTGAAAGTTCTATACAATTAATTATTTGAAAAATAAAATCAAACTACAATAATTATAATTTAAGTTTATGAAAGAGAATTTCGTAAAAAATATTGAACAAATAAAATCATAAGAGGTATAAGCGATTTTGTTAAATGAATTCTTTTTGAGGATAAATTACATAAATTATTAGTACATTTACATAAAGATATTCCATTTTCATAGGCGCCTAATTTATGACATTGATCATTCGATGATCCACTTGGATATGCATTTCTATCAGTGGAGGTTTTATTATTTTTATTTGCCGAATTTATTAATTCGATTAAATCATCAAGACACCCGCGTTCTTCGGTTACTTTATTTATTACTACAAATAGAAAATAAATAAAAATATAAAATAATTTGACTTTTACCTAGTTTAAAACAAACATTTGAAGGACAATCAACAGGTTTTGATAAACATGCATTATCTTTACTAGTGCAACATTGAATTGAGTATACAGCAGCTGTCTTATATACTAAATTTATAGAAAATATTTCTCAGCTTTGTTTTTTAATTTCAAATCATTATCAATAAACTTACATAGAAAAATTAAAACGAGATAAAGAAAAAAATGCCACTCAATGAATATCATTCTTTTGGTTTTTCTAGCGATGCTTATCCATCAAAATTCTAAAAAGAAAAATAATAATTATAGCAATATATTCTGAAACTTAACATTTTATTTTATTCATTTAAATGGATAATGTATCAATATTTATTTTCAAAAATTGAATAAAGATAATTTTTTCAATATTGGACATTGAAAATCGATAGATTTTATTATGAAGAAAAAGATTTAACTAAATGAAATCAATAAAACGTTAAGTAAATTTTTCATAAAATATTACTGATCTGATTTTATTTAACTATACTTTTGTTTTTTGAAAAAAAATCAATACGTCGACAAATGTCAAATTCTGAACAACTATTCTATAGTTGATTTCAATTCAGAATACGAAATATTGATTGAAAATAGAACTTCTATTGTATGTCGAACAAGAAACTATCTTTTTCCAATTAAAAGCATTAATAGTTTTTTTTTTCTGCCGAAAAGTTAATGTATAACAATATGAATCTTCTAGATGATGAAATTGACATGTCAAGTTTCATTATTTCTTTTTTGAATAGATAATACTAACGAAAACAAAACAAGAAAAGATCCTTTTTGATTTGTTAAAATATGTATGCTGAGTAGAAATTCTTCTAATAAATCATTTTTATCTAGCGTATTTTCTGATAAATTCGATTCGATTTATTATCTTTTGACCTTAAAGTATTCTAATTATGTTATATAAATATTTTGTTTCTTTTCTTTTTTCTCAGTTCTGATTAATCGGAAAAAAACAAAAAGGAATTTTTATAGAGACTCCTACATACATTTTTCAACTTCTTATTTCAAGTTACAAAATTATCCTCTTGAAAATCAATATGAAACGATCAATTCAAGAAATCGTTTCGTTGTATGACATTGTCGTATGTCATTCTGTTTCTAATTAACTAACTTAGGTTAATTTATATGATTTTTGAAATCTTAACAAGATTTATTTTAGAATTTAATTTGAAAATAAAAATACAAACAAAAAAAGAAGGTAATGAAGTTATATAAACTAGCGAAAATCTGATGTAATTAAAATGCCTATTGTATTCAGTTTCTTTCTAACTTGTTTTTTATTTTTGACAATATTAAACTAAAAGTTTTCCCTTCATTTAATCATTGGTTTATTTCAATAAAACAATTTCGATGATTTTCCCTACTTCTGGAGATTATTCATAATGTTATTGTTTTTATTTGTTATTTTCTCAAAATAATTATCAATCATAAATGATAATACTTAGTAGTTCAAATATATTTTTATATAAAATATTATAAATTAATTGTACAAATAAAAGCTCCTATTTTGTTTAATCTTAAGAAAATTGACATAGATATATTAAAAACAAAATAATTTCCAAAAAATATAAAATCTTACTGTTGAAATAAAAAAAGTAAATTGATAATTCTATTGAAACCAATTATCTTGAAAAGAATAAAACCAGAAAAAAGTAACAGAACTCTTTTGCTTATATCTTAATGTTTTCTGGTCTCTTTGTCTTGTTATTTCTTTCTTTCCTTCCTTTTTATGCTTTACCTCAGTAACAGTTTGTGCTCGATTGACACGCAAAAGAAAACAATCTAAATAATAATAATAAGAACAATACTACAGAAATGGAATTGTCGTCGATAACAAGATTGTTCATGAATATGAACTGAAATGAATTCTACTGTCGAATTATATGCTTTACAAACAAAAAACACAAAAAAGAGAAGACCAAAGAAAAACTTCGCTATTTATTCAAGTCGAAGCAATAGTTCATTTGTTTCTTGTCTTTCTTTTCTATTGCTCGAATGATTTCATTAGATTATATAGAAATAGAAATAAAAAAAAGACGTTTTTTTCCTGTAAAAAAAGAAAGATTACATGTTGATCATTATCGCCTTTAACGACATATAATCAATAAATCTTATTACTTTGCCTTCTTTCTCATCGACTTCTCACACATAATTACAACATTCATAACTTGAATTCATCGAACATTTTCTTTCAATTATTTTTCTCTTTTTCTGTTTGTATTTTTTTAAATATCTTTTGTTCGTTGTTATAATATCTAATAATAATATCATTAATCTATAAACTAATTCAAAATACAAGTTTATTTCATATGCTACTTCATTCGTTATTCTTATAGAAAAAATTTATTACTTTTTACGAGAAAAGAAAAAGATTTCAATTCAATAGATCTTCTTTAAATACAAAAATCTATTCTTGAGAATTAATTTATTGAATAAGTCGTAAAAGTAATTTATTTATTCTTAATCGAAAAAAACAGATTTTGATATAGTAGAAAATTTAAAAAAAAATGATTTCAATGTGGTGATATGTCAGGAAATCCTTATAAAAAAAATAAAGACCTGTTTCTATTACAAAAGAATAAAAACGAATTTTATCGTCCCTTTTTTTCATTGTAGAAAATCACAAAAAAATGTAACAAAGATTCTCAGTTGATTATTTATTTCTCATATGTTGTGTGGAAATTGTTTAATTATTTAGGTTTCTTTAGATAATGTTTCATAAGATAAATTAGACTAAAAAGACAATAGCCAATTAATTAGTCAAAAACGAGTTCAATTAATGAATAAGAAGAAGTTTCTTTGTGTATTTGACTTACTCTATTATCTATAAAATATAAAGATATATTTTATTTCAATGAAATTTGTCTTGTTGTTTTTTACTCGATAATGATTAACTGAGAAGTGTGATGATGAAAAGAACCATCTCATTTTCTTCTCTAACAATCTTGCGTTTCTTTTTTCATCTCAAGAGAGAAAAAAAAGGAATATCTTTTTCTTATATCTGACGTACGTAAATGTAGCAATGTCTCAAGAAATATTTCTACTGAGTTTTCATTAGAAAGAAAAAATGATTATAAAAAGAAAAAAAAAAGGAAGGCAAACTGATGGTTTCGTCTCTTATAAAGATAAGTATACTTAAATAATAATATTCAGTAAGAATCTTATTTGTTATTTATTTGTTTTTATTAATATAAAAATAATGATTAGAAAGGTTTTCTTTTTTATTGCTCTTTTTCTAAGAAAATGTCAATACGAATGTTCATAAATAAAAAATGTCGAATTGGATGCTATGGAAATAAAAGAGACATTGATAATGATTATCTTCCGATTCATGTCGGAAACACGATCAGACATTTGATTTATTTTATAAAAAAGCAAAATCATTACTGAAAATAACTTCTATTTACCATTAATCATAGACTCTCTCTATTCATATGCTTGTTTTTTTATTATTCCAACGAAAAATTTGATAATGTGATAAAAGTAAATTTTTATCTATGAAACAAATTAAACCTTTTATTTTGTTTGTTTTTAAGATCAAATATATTGATGTCTGATTTTAATTTTTCCATCTAAGAATATAATTATGAATTCTAAAAAAAAGCATTTCATATAGATTTCTATGATAAGAAAAACAAAACCCATAAAAAGATGAGAAGAAAAAATATTTTTCATTTAGATAGATTAACATTGATAATATTAATTTATAGTTTAATTATTGTAGATGAATATATCTATTTAATTGAAAACTGTTTTCTATATAATTATTAAATTTAATTAAAATAAGCTAGAAATATGCCGTATCTTTTTTTGGTTAAAATTAATTTTATTATATATTTACAAAAATGAAATTAACTTTAATTGAATTATATCTCTTTTTTCTTCTATATTACAAACAGAAACAGTCCTTTTAATAACATCAATATTATATTAATTAAATTTTTCATGCTCATTTGAATTCTGGCATATACTATTCAGACTAAAATATATAAATCAATACTATATAAAGAAAAAAGATCCGTTCATTAAAGAAATCTTTCAAACAAACTTATGTAAATAAGTTGAAAATTCTAAGAGGGAAATAAAAATTTTGAAGTTGAAAAGCATTGAAATGTATACGAGACAATATTGAGTATATGGTTGCTGCAACAAAGATTGTTAGATTTTCACTCTTATACATTATACTACTCTGCAGTCTCATTATTTATCTACTACTTGCTCAAACTATGACAAAGTTATATGTTTAACAATCAAAAAATTTGAAAAATTCTCTCTAAAACTCCAAGAGAGTAAATATAACCTTGAATACAGTAGATTCTATACTATCTACAAATCAATACAAAATTTTCTAAAAAACTCTTGTTTTGGAAGAAAAGAATGAAACCTATCAATCATATCAATCATTTCAATAAATTTTGTCTTCAATAAAACTAGAAAAACTGCTTTAAAAACAGTTTAAAATATAAAACAGATATAATAGATTTACTCAATAATCTATAGAATCTAAACTAAACTCATTCCTACCCAGTCAGACACGTCTCTAAAGAAAACGCGTTAGAACGTGTTAAAAGTGCGTTAGAACGCCGTTTTAACGATAGACCATCACAAAGACGCCGTTTTTTCGACTTATGAACGCATTTTAACACGTTATAATATTTCCGCATTCAAATATGTAGATTTATTTTTCGATTTATGCGTTTTTATCCGTTAAAAACTTGAATTTTACGCATTTTTACGCTTACATTTCGTAACTTTTTCAACGTCGTAAAAGTTTTTTTCTCAGGATTCGTTCATTAGCAATTAATTCAAATAATTTGTAACCTTGCCCTTGAAGTGCCCAGTTCGGTCCTTGCCTCTCAGTTCCTTACAATGGAATTTTTTATTTACAACATTCACAAATAAAATCTTTATGTATAGAAAATCCCATCACAGAGAGCAGCCACTATTTGTCATCTTAGAAAAAA